GACATTTCCAGAGCACTTAAAACTATCTTAGAACTGTGTGTAGTAAGAGTTTTATGATAAACTAACTCTGACATCATCATGTGAGTCATACTGGGGCATGATCCTGGAACATTCACTATGCACTAGCGTATTTAGACAGTTTAGGGAATTTGGGGTGGGGGTGTGGAGGAGACTCTGCTTCTGTTCATTCTTGGTTCCAGTGCACTTTTCCCTCCTCCTCTTTCTCTCTCTCTCTTTTTTTTTTTTTTTAACTTGCAAATTTTGCAAAGGTCTGATTTTAAGAGAGTTTTTAATTTGACCTTCACCTCTACTGTTTTTTGTGTGACTTTTTTTATGTTAGTAACAACAGCTAATGCTATTTGTATTATATTGCCACCTATATTGAAGGTTGTGCAACACTTTCCATTATAAGACTGTTTCAGTTGCTTATTATGTTGCCAACATTCAGCTGTTTGGGCTGAAATTTTCCATGCTGGGTGTCTCCTTCAGGCTGAATTTCTTGGGAAAGTTTCAATAAAAATACTTGAACCATTCCAGGGAATGAGAGGAGGGGGAAATACTATATTTTGCTCATGTTTATTAAAGTTGCTGCAAGCACTTGATTCAGAAATCGTTACACCTACGTGTTTTGGAGCAGGAAGTTGAATTAGTAGGAAGGTGAAAAGGAAAGGAAAGAAAAGGTGGGGATGGAAAAGATATATTTTGGGGAGTGGGCTCCTCCCTTATCTTATGAATCATCTGCAAGGAAGCATACAGACCCCAGGCCTGTTGAAACAGGGTCAGTAAATGGCTGGGGCCTGAATGAATCTCCTTGTTCTGCCCAGTCTATGGGGTGTGTTGGATTTGGAGAGAGAGGTGCATGAGGTGCAAGCGCAGCCTTGTGGAAGAGGGAACAAGACTAAAATCTGGATAGTGGTGAAAGAAGGGCAGAGTTAAGGCGTCATGAATAAGACTTGAAGAGAACAGAGGTAGACTCATTCAGTCACCAAGGAGAGTGATCTGAAGATGGTGAAAGGGACTAGTTAAGCAAGGAGATGCGATTTAACCTACCAGGAGTCTTATGGCAGCCTTTATTAGTTCCAGTTCATTATCTCTTTCCCATTTCTTGTGCATTTAAATGAGGCAGGGAAAACAGTGTGCAGTCATGTAATTTGGAGACCAGCATTCAACCTTAATTCCACCATGTCCAATTTCTGAGCACTTGGTGTTGCAACCATACCATACTTTCAACAAGAAAAGTAAAGCCTTAGTTGGTAATGTTATCCTATACCCATCGTTAAATGCTCACGTGGCTTTGAAGAACACCACTATAATTCAGCACAAGTGTAATATTGCAGATAATGAAAATGGTGACAAATGTTTTAATCCAAATTTTCTTTTGAAAAGCATTGCACTGCCAAACATATATGGGACTCTTTGGATCTGAAAAGGTTAATTTCATACTTCAGATATCAGAAACCAAACTTCTCAAAAGACTCTGCCTTCCATTTCTCTCGCATTTGTGGTATAAACAACAAGTGATATTTTGGAATATACCCAATGTGCTCAGCCCAAATGGGAGTGAGTTAACAGGACAGAGAGAAGTTTCAGCTATAACTTCAGTTTTTTCTGATTTTTTTTTTTTATGGGCTTCAACCAGACTGGTTATACCTCAATATTATTTTAACATTGTTATTTGTGGCCGAGTTTATTAAATAGCAGTGTTCATGCTGCTGCTGCTAACATCTCGCGCTTCAGGTTATCATCCAAATTTTCAAGGATTTATAATGTTGCCATAACATTTTCTTAAGGAATAAGACTTCCCATCCAGGAGCAAGCTTACATAGTAGTACAAATTGCAAAAATAAGTGAAGTAGACGGTTCCTATTTAAAGGAAAGCAAGTATATGCACTGGATGTGCATTTTATTAAGTTCCTTTTACTTGCATTTTTCTTTAATGAAATTTAGATTTCTATCTGGGGACTGTTTTGTCAATAATATCTGCACCCTGAAAGGAAAGAGACTTGTTAGGGAAGAAAAATTTTAAAATCACCTGTTACTATCTGCTTTTTAAAATATTAACTTCATGAAAATTCCGTATCCGGGTTTGACATGATGCATTGTCTGTATGCTGAAGAAGATAAACTGTCATGTCCAATACCTGTTTACTAATGTCTTCAGATTGTGTATTGATGTTACATATCATGGCAGAGATCCCCTTATTAATGCCCGCACGCTGTGGATAGACAGGGTGCATCTTTAGTGCTCCAATGGTACTTTAAACTTCATGCCGCACTATTCTGAAGATGTTAAAGTACACGAGGCTTTTTTGAAAAAGAGCTGTTTTTCTGAGATTTGGGACGAATTTGTTGTCCGTATTTGGCCGCATGACTAAAAGGCACTTTTTTCTTTCTCTTTTTTCCCTTTCCCAGTGCACCCCTTACTGTTCCACAGGAGCTGTTTTTTCTTGGAGATCTCTCCGTAAGTGATATCAGGTTTGGACACGTTGGCAGGAGAATCTGCATAGCTTCCACTGAAGCAGCCTATGTATTGAGTTTCCATGGAGCCTAAAAAATATAGTGATTCATATTCATTTAAACTATGGGTTGCAGCCTGGAGCAGAAACCGGACTGTCTGTCTTACAGCACCATTTTGCAGATGCTGTGGCATCTACTACGGATTGCCGTGAGACCCACTACGATCTGATGGTCACAACAGTAGCACTGGCAGTGCTGATTCTTGTCAGAGCATCTCTGTTTTGGGATGTTGTGATACTAAGCATGCCTTATTTTTAATTCCTCTTCCTCTTCTGATCTCATATTGCCAAAGGAAGGACTGAAGAATCAGTTTGGTCCAGCCTGTGGCCTGCACCCTTGGACAGTGGCAGGACTTAAACTGTGAACCAGATGATGGGTCTTTCCTCTGCCTCCTTTCCCTCAGGGTCTGCTTCTCTTCCTCAGGAGCTAAATATAGATATACCAGCCCCGTGTTAGGTGCTTTCTGGGTGTGTGTCAAGGGCTGCTTGCACGCCTTCACCGTGATGAAGGCACATCCAGTCGCACAACAGGCAGTTTGGTCACGTAGTAAATAGAGTTGTCACAGGACGAGAAATCAGGTAGGATACCCAGCTTAACAACTGAGCTTCTTCATTACTTTGCAGATTTGCTCCCTGCTGCCACCTCCATGCAGGAGTCTGCGTCCTTCTCTTTGCTAGGTTATTCTGAGGAGAGCGTGACTGAAAGAGAGGCAGGTCACCCATCCTGAGCCCAGTGTGAATACTTGCCAGGAACTGTTGTCGCTCTGTTTCCTTGCTGGATTGCAAATGTGAGTTTCTAGGTGATAGCTGGTGCCAAGGAAAGTCTGTACAGGCTTTGAAAATAGCTGAACGTGTCCCTCGCGATTGGTCAGGGTTACGGGAGCTCATAATTGGAAGCTTGTAGCTTAGCTAAAACCTGGCTTACTCTGTCTAATTTAAGTTAGACAAGTGTCAGGGTGTAACTAAAACATTACTCACGTTACATGGGCTGCTGTGCGTGTTGTATTATTTACTGTCAGGTGAAATAAAAGCGTGGAATAGTTTGTACATGAAGGACAGAAGACTGTGCAGACAAGGGGATTTATTCCCGGTTGTGCCTCTTAGAAACCTTTCTAAATGGGTACTTAGGCAGTGGAGGGGAAAGGCGAAGGAGGATTAAAATATCACTTGAACAATGAGTGCCTGAAGTCAGTGTTACTGAGATCCCGTTATGGGGGACTCCCAGCCCTCACCAGTGGTGCCTTGAATGTCGATATTGTTAATGATTCCATTATAAGAAAAAGAAAAAACAGACGAGAAAATAAGTAACTTCCTGTGAAGGTCGGTTCCAGGGGCTGGCTGAAATTTGAGGTGTAGTTTTTAAAATGGGCATGAAAACTTGGAGGGTAAGGTGAAAGAGATGTTCCCAGGAAGGGCTCGTCCACATGCAGTGTCATTGGAGAGTTGTATTGGATAATGCAGTATGAGGTGCTGGTGTAACTCTGTGTGGACGCTTTCATTTACAATAATTGGGGTCTTTTTCACTATAATTGTTTTTGTTTGGAAGGGATCCAAGTTAAAATGAAAAGGGCTATTTTTATTCCAAGTGGGAGATCCCGGGCAAAAACTTGCATTGGTAGAATTACTGCTATACTGATTTAGGCCTTGCATTGTACTAATGGGATTTCCTTTTAACATCCCAGAGAGATGAACCTTGAGCTGTGCCAGACCTTTCGCAGCGTGTACTGAAGCTTTACAGAGAGGTGACATTTGGTTTTCAAGAACTGGGGACTCCATTTTGAGGAATTACAACGTAATTGGACATCTCTTGTGTCAGGCAACACTGCCTAAAACCCTTACAAGAAAATCTTACAAAAAAGATGTAATTATACTAAGCTGGAAACAATGGAGCTGCACAGTATAATTCATATTGCCGCTTTGATTGACCTTCAATCAAAGGTGCTATGTGGCTTTTGGAGAACAATAGACATACTGAGGCATTGGGAAGAAGAACCACCCCTAAAAATAAAACAGAAAAGTTTTGGACTTTTTTTTGTCTTTTGATTTTTAATCTCTAAAATGTGTTTGGGCATTTGTCTTCAAACTGTTCCCCAAATCAGATTCAATACGTATGCCTCAAACATTTGTCTCCATTATAGCTACTCAGCTACTTTTTCATGGAAGGACTGAGAGTAGTTATTGTAACATTGTTTGCAATACTGGTCTCTGACTGGAGATTTAAAAAGCCTGTGTGCATGATGCAATTGTCTAAAATAAATCATACCAAAATTGGAAGCAAATGCCCCAGATCTTGAACTCAGTGTGAATAAGCTGTTGATGGAGATGTTTGTGTTCTTGCTACCTGTGTTACAGAAGAACTTGTCATGGCTGAGTTTGAAGCTCCCTTCAGTCACTGAGAGTGAAAAATATTTATTTGATCTTTACCTAAAGCTTGCCCGCTGACAGTGTATCAGGCCTCTCATCCTTATGATTGCCCTTGTTCTAGATTTATGACTGATGCAGCTCGACGTGAGCAGGAATCTTTGAAGAAAAAGATTCAGCCGAAACTCTCTCTGACTTTGTCAAGCACAGTGTCCCGTGGGAATGTATCTACTCCACCTCGCCACAGCAGTGGAAGCCTTACTCCCCCAGTCACCCCTCCAATCACTCCATCCTCTTCATTTCGCAGTAGTACACCTACAGGTAAGCACCTGCTGTTTCATTTACCCTAAAATCAGCTAACAGTTTTGCTGTGTGGCTTTTGGAAAACAATAGACATACTGAGGCGTTGGGAAGAACCACCCCTGGAAATAAAACGGAACAGTTTTGGACTTTTTTTTTGCTTTTTGATTTTTGATCTCTAAAATGTGTTTGGGCGTTTGTCTTCAAACTGTTCCCCAAATCAGAGAGGGACAATAACCTTAAAGATGGAAGCTGAGATTATTATACAGAGAAACTGATCTTGAGCGAAACCACCAAATGTGGCAAGATCCCTGACAGAACGGTAAGAGAGCTCTTAACATGGTACAGTGCCAGTGTAAAATATAAGTAAAAAATGCAGTCTTGTTTTCTCATTCTCTTTTTCCTTCTTTTTCTTTCTTTTTCTTGTTTTAACTGAATTCATAAGTAGCTTTTTTCACACAGACTGCAGAATGGATAAGTGTTTAGCATTTTCATTCTCTCTTAATTAGAGGTATTAACATACCCTTTCTGCTCAGTCTACCCAGTGATTTTCATGAATTCCATATCAGTAGCCTTTACAATTTTGATTGAAGTCAGCCAACAGACTGAAAAATTATCAAGAGTGTCAACTAGGAGTAATGTTCAACTGCTGACTTTAGGTAGACACCATTTTCTTTAGGAAACTAAGTTTAAAAAAATTTGTTATATGTATATGTGTATATATATAAAAGTGGTCTGTATTTTGTTCAAAAACAAATCCTCTACTGGTTTTCCCAGGTATGAAAATCCAAAGTACACATATTTTGCACTGATTAAAGAAACTGAAAATTACCTTCTGTGTTGAACCAGATCTCTTAGCCCGTGTGAGTCAGGCTGACTTACATTAGGCAGAGATCTTGTACATAAATTCTGATAAACTTCAGATTAAATGCAGATACTTCCTCTTAAAAAGACAAATGCATATCTATGCTATTTGGTAATAAATGGACTCAACATACTTCTCTTAATAGGAAATAACATGAGCATCCCTGCCTTGATAAACTGCAATGCCATGTGTTTTCCGTAAGTTATTTAATGTTTCAGTATTAATCATTAAATGGAAAAGTTGTAGCTGTCCTTATGACGCTCTGTCTGGAAGTACTGAAGCGAATAGATTGTTTAGTATGTCCCTGGGTATGAAAAAGTGAAGCATGTGGAATACAGCTAAATGATAAAGTCCTAATGTAATAAAGAAAATTTCAGAAGTAAGATTTTCTCAATTATCTCATGTTTGGAACAAGCTGATTCACTTCCCTTGCTATAGATGTCAAGGAATGACTGCTTTTTTATTTTACTTTTTGTTCAATCCCTACTGAAAAGGCTGATTTATGATTTGGTCACGTACTATAACTTTGCATGTCTGTCAAGAACGTGCATTAACTATCTACGCTTTGAAGTATGTTACATCAAACATTAAAAAAAAAAAAGGCTGTCTACTAAAATACTTTCATTTTATATTTTTGTCAAACATTTTAAATTATTCAGAATGTTGTTTTACCTGTAGTTAGGAGGACCAGCTTTTTTTGGCTGAGTTTCTGGGAGTCCTGCTTGCCAGATTATAAATAATACCAGCTTCCACATTCTGAACTCTCCGTTCCAAGTTCCACATTCAAGCTGTATTCCAAGGTCAGAATTTGTAATAGCCTGGTAGCAAAAATCATATATAAAACAGATATTCTTTCTTGGAGAATTTTGTTATATTAACTCACAACTGAGTAACGTTTCAGCAGCCTCAGCCCAGAATTTCCATTTTTTGTCATCTTAAAAGCTTTTCTGGACCTAAAGTAAGTGCTGAGATTTTTCTGATAACTACAAAATTTTTCCCAGTGTTTGCGTGGTGTAGGGTTTCGTTCTCCATGATGGTTATAACACATACAGACGAGGTGCTCTGAGTTGTGCAATGGCTGAGTTTTTCTCTCTCCCTCTCTCCAGTGCTTGCATAGGGAGCCCAGGAGGGCCAGCGGGTTAATTTTAGATAGGCAGCCTACATGTGTATTATTGGCTGATGTGAAACCCTTTCCCTCAAGTGCAAATGTATATGGAAATTTCCTAGCAAGGTGATGAAACCATGGATACTTAGGGCAAGATCTGTGTCAGGAGGGCAGATTACAGTATGTGAATCCTCCTACGCTTCAACCTCTCAGTGCCTACAGGACTTTCCAACCCTATAGACATGGCCTCCTCTGCATCCAATGAAAATACTGAATACTGCTGTATTCATTCTGTGGGATCCTGCTTGATTTGTACTCCTAGCAAACTGTTGTTAACTCATCTTTGATTACAGGTAAACAGCTGTGTTGTGGTAATTTCAGAAACCAGAGAGTGTTTTTGCTTAGGTTGTCTAAAAGGATATCATGGGGGTTGATGTTAAATGTTTGTTATAATCCAGATATAATCATTGTCTTCATCAACTTGTAGATAATACTTCATCAAAAAAGAAAATGAGATTTGCTTTGACACAGTTTGCTCATGACGTTCATAATTGCAGTTTCTCTTATTAGCTCCCTTATCAGTTGGTCAATACTTTGTTGGGGTATTAAAATTCAGCAACAAATCTGTTAACTCTTGCGTTCTCCCATTCACTTTATCAAGCTAGGGTTCCCAGTTTCCAAGTGGTCATTTTGAGCACGCTGGGCTGCCTAGTGTGTGCTTATGTAAAGTGTCAGCTGTGGGTTTTTTCCCCATCTCTGTTCCTTCTCCAGCTCTTACGTATGAATTCTCTTAGTGTGTATCTCTTTTGTTTCAATTTTAAGTTTAAAAGAAAACTGTTAATTCCTGTCTACATTTAAAATAATCATTTCTGTCATTCTTAGTTTCACTTGGATTCAAAGAGCACCAGTTCTTCTTTAATTGTGAGAATCAAATCTAAAATACCTTAGTTACCTCTGTTTAAAATATATAAATATGTGTGTGTGTATATATGTAGATATAAATATATATATATACACTCACATTTACTGCACAGTCTGTCTTGCTATGTTGCGTTCCCAACTTATAGCTTCATCATCAGAATTTATTGTTTAGATATGACTGAGTTATTGGAAGATGCCTGTCTTCCTCCTCTTCCAGATTTGATAAACTATTAAAACATCTCACTGAGAACTTAGCTTTGCTGTTGTTCTTTCCTGTCTTCACTCAGAAAGTTTCACCGGGTCCCCCTCTTGCCTCTTCCTGAGCATCAGAACAAATATACGCTCATTCTTTTTATACAGCGTGTCTCCTTCCTCACCTGTCCTTGATGAACGTTCCTATTCATACGTCCAGCAATGCAGGTTTTTTTGTCCCACCAACTGTCTGCAATGTCAATCAAGACGCTTTTATTAACATACCAAATTTTCTGTTTGTTTTTTTCTGTTGTATTCACCATTAGTACCATTCTCATAGCAATGATCAACAGACAAAAAGTATGTTTGGGTAGCTGCCCTATTATTTTCCCTTTTTGATTTTAGTTTTAGTACTGCAGATTTTTGTCACACACACCCTTAGGTTTTATCTGTTGACCAGGCACTTATCCACATTAAAGCTTTGACTGTGATCCTACCTAAAGCCTTCTGCTCTAGAAGGCACATATTCAAGCAGAAAAGCTGACAAGAAAACCACTTACGTCTGACTCTCATGACTGCTTGGAGTCTTGCAGTTGCTTCTCGTCTGCTTAGTGCCAGTAGCCTGGCAATATCATTATTGCAACATATGTAAGTAGCACAAGGTAGAAGTCCAGGATGGCGCAGACTTAGATGCCAGAGAGAAGCACATCTTACAGTCTGTTGAGCTGACATACGAATATCTGCAGGTCCCTCAGCAGATAATAGATGTCTGTTTACCATCTTCATTTGAGGAAGAAACCTGAAACCTCACTAATCTTGTGGATCCCATTTTTCAATGAGCGTTCCCCCTTTAGGTTTACTGCTCTTCTCTTGACTTCGTTAGGTATGGCAGTCTTATCTTGGGTGAAGCCAGCAGCTGCCTGAATCCCAGTCATCTCTGTGTGTCCTTACAACTAAGCCCTGCCGTTTCCTGATGCCGTTAAGCCACTGTTGTCATTCTTCAGCAAAGCGTAATTTCATATAATTATCTCCTATCTACATATTGACCAGACTCAAACCCACTTAGCTTGTGAAATTTGATAAGAAACAGTTCAAGGTGGTTTGGCTGCAGAGAATGTTTGTTAAGTTTTGTAGTAAAAAATTGTGCCAAAAGACTACAGGCCAAATTCTCAGACGGAGCTGAGCAGCTTCCAAGCTGACACACATATACATGCTGCAAATGTTGCATGCGTATGTTCAACACCTTTCCCTCTGTAAATGAGATTATTCATGTAGAAGCAGAAATATTCGGCACAGAAGTGTGCTCTTTAAGGCTCTTCTCAGGTAATGAGGTAGACATGTATTTATCTGCAAACTCTGTATGTGTTAGTCCCCTGAAAAGGCCCTTTTGTGGTTTTGGTGGGAAGTAGAAATACAGCAGTTAATTTTCTATACCTCCGCTCTGATCCCTCAGGGATGACTGGCATGTGCTCTCTGCTTACATTTGGCTTTCTGTTCACTCTTATAACAAATTTTCTCTTCTGAAGACCTACATCCTCTAAAAATTGCATAAGTTCATTAAAAGACAAGAACTGTTCCATTTTTTTGTTTTTAACAATCGCGTCTCCTGCGAGACTTTGTTTAGTAGTCCTAAATGTTCTTGTTAGAATTTGCAGGCAGGATTTAGCAGAAGAAATGGCTTCCGTCAGAGGTGCAGAATCAGTAGCATGACAGAGAAACATAGCTAAGCAACACTAACACATAACTTGTTTTGGAAAGATGTTAACATTCGACATACATTGAAATGCCTCTTTACTTAAGAAGTGCTGAATTAAGTCACTAAAACTTTTGTTGCCTTATTTCTTAAATGTAAATTTTAAACCCACAAAGCTAATGAAGTCTGGTTATGGATAAAAATGGGGCTGACGTTGCATCTTTAACATACGCTGTTAATTTTTT